TTCGATTGATACCCATTTTTACCATAGCACCACTTTTTTGTCCGTACAAAGGCGATTTTACGGATATTTTACGAGTCTAGGGGGCTTTACGGGCCTTAAACGTCAATGCAACGGGGACCGTTTTGGGGAAAGTTTCTCGGCTAGTGGTGGGGCACCTGTGTGCCGATTTTGAACGAAATCGGGGGGGACCCCCCATTGACCCAAAATTTTGATTTTCCCGTACAAACTTTCCTATGGGGAAAAAGTGAAATTTTCCTGCCGGACTGTGTCTGGGTAAACGAGAGCTTTCGATTGATACCCATTTTTACCATAGCACCACTTTTTTGTCCGTACAAAGGCGATTTTACGGATATTTTACGAGTCTAGGGGGCTTTACGGGCCTTAAACGTCAATGCAACGGGGACCGTTTTGGGGAAAGTTTCTCGGCTGGTGGTGGGGCACCTGTGTGCCGATTTTGAACGAAATCGGGGGGGACCCCCCATTGACCCAAAATTTTGATTTTCCCGTACAAACTTTCCTATGGGGAAAAAGTGAAATTTTCCTGCAGGACTGTGTCTGGGTAAACGAGAGCTTTCGATTGATACCCATTTTTACCATAGCACCACTTTTTTGTCCGTACAAAGGCGATTTTACGGATATTTTAAGAGTCTAGGGGGCTTTACGGGCCTTAAACGTCAATGCAACGGGGACCGTTTTGGGGAAAGTTTCTCGGCTGGTGGTGGGGCACCTGTGTGCCGATTTTGAACGAAATCGGGGGGGACCCCCCATTGACCCAAAATTTTGATTTTCCCGTACAAACTTTCCTATGGGGAAAAAGTGAAATTTTCCTGCAGGACTGTGTCTGGGTAAACGAGAGCTTTCGATTGATACCCATTTTTACCATAGCACCACTTTTTTGTCCGTACAAAGGCGATTTTACGGATATTTTACGAGTCTAGGGGGCTTTACGGGCCTTAAACGTCAATGCAACGGGGACCGTTTTGGGGAAAGTTTCTCGGCTGGTGGTGGGGCACCTGTGTGCCGATTTTGAACGAAATCGGGGGGGACCCCCCATTGACCCAAAATTTTGATTTTCCCGTACAAACTTTCCTATGGGGAAAAAGTGAAATTTTCCTGCAGGACTGTGTCTGGGTAAACGAGAGCTTTCGATTGATACCCATTTTTACCATAGCACCACTTTTTTGTCCGTACAAAGGCGATTTTACGGATATTTTACGAGTCTAGGGGGCTTTACGGGCCTTAAACGTCAATGCAACGGGGACCGTTTTGGGGAAAGTTTCTCGGCTGGTGGTGGGGCACCTGTGTGCCGATTTTGAACGAAATCGGGGGGGACCCCCCATTGACCCAAAATTTTGATTTTCCCGTACAAACTTTCCTATGGGGAAAAAGTGAAATTTTCCTGCAGGACTGTGTCTGGGTAAACGAGAGCTTTCGATTGATACCCATTTTTACCATAGCACCACTTTTTTGTCCGTACAAAGGCGATTTTACGGATATTTTACGAGTCTAGGGGGCTTTACGGGCCTTAAACGTCAATGCAACGGGGACCGTTTTGGGGAAAGTTTCTCGGCTGGTGGTGGGGCACCTGTGTGCCGATTTTGAACGAAATCGGGGGGGACCCCCCATTGACCCAAAATTTTGATTTTCCCGTACAAACTTTCCTATGGGGAAAAAGTGAAATTTTCCTGCAGGACTGTGTCTGGGTAAACGAGAGCTTTCGATTGATACCCATTTTTACCATAGCACCACTTTTTTGTCCGTACAAAGGCGATTTTACGGATATTTTACGAGTCTAGGGGGCTTTACGGGCCTTAAACGTCAATGCAACGGGGACCGTTTTGGGGAAAGTTTCTCGGCTGGTGGTGGGGCACCTGTGTGCCGATTTTGAACGAAATCGGGGGGGACCCCCCATTGACCCAAAATTTTGATTTTCCCGTACAAACTTTCCTATGGGGAAAAAGTGAAATTTTACTGCAGGACTGTGTCTGGGTAAACGAGAGCTTTCGATTGATACCCATTTTTACCTCCTTGTGACGTCATTTCTAGGGGAAAACGGGTCATAAAGGTTTCCCTCTACCGGGGCCTTTTTTCCCCCTACCGAATCTGTGCTGTGCTGAACCTGTGCTGAATCTGTGCCAACTTCCGTTACATCAATTTTTCAATTATGGCTTACGACGAAGATTAGGATGCCACGATGATACGATTCAAACGACATATAACCGAATTCAATTATGATTGTGATAAGTGATAACGATATTAGCCGTTTTCACGACGGCCATCTGGTACACATTTGGTGCAGATTAGGTGCAGATTCGGTCAATCAGCTTCATTGTATTTCTTTAAATCTGTCTGTTTGGGTTGCACAAATGCTTATTGAACATGTTTTCACATTATCAAAGTTCAAACATTATTTTCGATGAAAAAACGGAATTAAATTCATGATATGAAGATATTTGTTGTAAAATATATTTGGTGCAGATTTGGTTAAATTAGGTGCATTCGCCAGATAGCCCGTCGTGAAAACGGCTAAGCGGCTATTATTCGAACCAAACGATTGCTTTAGCAGTTAGCTTGTGCTGCATGGAAGTTACAGGCCTTTGATAGTACGAACCATGTTTGTGTGTCGCCACTGTTTGCATCGTCTTCTTGTATTTTGATATTGCAAATCTTGAAAAAGGCAACCTGCTTAAGTCGAAATATTTGGTTTTTAATAATCTTTCACCTCAGTGTAGCCCGAAACTAAAACGAAAAATCATTTACCTGAGGAAGATATAAAAATGGCACATGGTCAGTAGTTGTTCACCGTTCCATGCTTCTATCCTCAGGATACTGAAATCCTTCTCCTCCACACCGCCACCCCCCTCCGGGCTGGACAGGCAACTTTATCTCATGCGGGCTGCTCCCTTGGAGCGGCACCGCTGCTCCCGAGGGAGCGCACCCCGTAGCCGGGTGCAGTGAGTGCTTTGGGGCTGGGTGGCCTGTCTTCGGACGGGCTCAGCCCCGGCGACTCACTAGGGTGCCTGCCCAGACCAATGTCTCCCCCTATATCCTATCATCCTCCCGGCTCTGAAATGGTCTTACCGGACCGAAAGGGCCTAACCCAACAAAACAAACAAACAAACAAAGTAGTTGTTCGCTTGCATACCAGGGCACACACGAGAAGGCTAATGGGCTCCTGCCCCACCCCCTTGCCCAGCCTTATTGACGGTTCAACAAAACCATGAAATTTGTTTGACTTTTGAAAGCATGGAAATTGTGCACACGTGGGCCAGTCACGCAATGGCATTCATTTTTGTTTTAGTGGGGTCACTTTCCAGGCGCGTAACCACCACTGGGGACACTGGGGACCGGTCCCCAGTAACTTTTGGGTTACTGGGGACCGTCCCCAGTAAAACCGACGACCTCAATTTGCTTGAATAGCCAAATATTGTCTCTAAATCGACGTGAAGAGTAATATGTAGTCAATGGAAAACAAAACTGGATGTTTTGTTTAGCCAGCGCCCGGGTGGACCTCTCAACCAACTTAGCCATGGTGGGGGGGGGGGGGGCCTTTTGGCCACACCAGATTACCTAAGCAAGCTAGAAAGACGCGGTAAGAAGCAGCGATAGCTCGCTACAGTATCTTTCAGAATTACCTATGTCATTTTTGATCAAGTCATCGCTCAGGTCACTGGAGGTCACCAAAGGTAAAATTTTCACAAACTTTTATTCCCAATTTTGACAACTTTTCACAAATTGGCGCATACGTCAGGAACCAATAGAGCTGCAGTGCTGCGGGAAAGCGCATTTGATAGCTTTTTCAAAGACCTTTCTGAGCAATGTTCTCAGTTTTGACCTAAGGTCAACGGTTTAGCACCAGGTTGGCGTTTTGCGGGAAAGGTTTTTGTATCATAAATTTTGACTCAAAAATAGCATGGCGCTGATTTTACCGGCATCGCGTTGGTCTCGTCGAGACGCATGGAAGGAAAAGGTCATGTTGCATGTCATGCGATTGGTATTGTTGAGTTGAACACATCCATGGTGTTTGCGCTCTAACATGTTTCTACCTAAAGTAATGGTAAAAAACTGTTGGAGATGTTTCATTACCTGAGATGATCTCAGAGGCATAGAAGGGGTCACAGGTGCAATTTTCCGGTTCAGTGTGTCATGTTTACCTGTGTCGGTGGCGGTGCGCGCCGCGGTTGTGCTTACACGCGCAAAAAAAAATGGCAGGTGTGGCCAAAAACGCCCCCCACCATCTCCCCCCCACACACTCGGGCGAAGGCTGATCCTGAAATATTATATTTGGTCTTCGCGGCCTTCCACGTGGTCCCCAGTAACTTCAGACTCGTGGTTACGCGCCTGAAAGTGATAGGCCGTCTGTCCTCTGTGAATAATGTATGTATCGCTGTGAATTTTCGAATTTTGCTGAGGGCGGGTGCGTTGAAAGAAATACACGTGTTAATGACATGCAAAATGAGGCAAAATATTTTTGTTAAGCGGAAGAGGTCAAGGATGATAGAAAATCGAATGTTAATTTGCGCAGCAACCTAAACATTCAACCGCAGCATGGGTCGTCTCAATAAGCAGGACACTTCAGGAACGTACCCAAGGGGGGGGGGGTCCGTAGGGTATTTTGGCCAAATACCCTACGGACGAGGCGCGCGAACCCCCTCCGCCCCCTTGGGGTTTTCATGGCCCCCGGATGGAATCATGGCCCCCGCGGGCCGAAAGCCCGCGTTGGCCAAAATGACGTCGGGGGCGAACGAAATTCACGGGAATCCCAAAAATCATGTCAGGACAATCACGGCCCTCTGATCAGCCTGACAGCTAGGGTCCTCCTTACTTCCTGAGGCCTCCTGTGAATGACCGCTAGGGTCTCTGTCTGACTGCTAGGGCCCCTCTGACTCCTCAGTAGAGAGGAGGCCCTCTGTAGGTAGAAGGCCCTCTGTAGAGAGGAGGCCTCCGGGATTCCCCCGCCCCCTCCCCCTGGCCAAATCGTAGTTATGCGCCTGGAACACTTTCTCTGTAAGCATTTCATTTACATACCATAATTCATGGTTTATCAGCAGACATCGGAGCCTCCATTCTTACAGATGACATCTCAAATAACCTGACACCCCACTATGACAGTCGGCCTGGTTCCATGGCTCGGTTCCTGGCCCCAGTAAATGTTCGGTAAATGTAGGGTTCGATCAAACAGGACCTCAGTACACCCACTGTACGGGAGCGCGGCCATCCGACACGTCAGCAGCAGCCAGCACCCCCTTCCTGCGACCAGGGACGGGGCGGGGTAGACACATTATGTGTTTTACAGCTCACACCGCAGGTCACGGGCGACAGTTGGCGATTGCACAGGCAGTTTGGTTCTTCCAGTGGCGCCACTCCTCAGCTCGGAACTTATGTACCGTGTCTTAACACCAGCGCTTAGCGTAAGACGAACACGGCGTCATCTTCGAACGATGAGCAGACGGATGGCCCGGCGGATGACACACTGAAAAAATGTCATTAGCGGTAAATGATTGCCAATAACTTTGGGTTTTGACATAATTGCTCTTGGTGCTTCTCATTGAACTGAATCTAGCGAGTCCTCTTGTGAGAACCATACGATATAGGTAAGATTAGAATTGGAAACAAGCCGTAGCAAACTCGTACTCAACGTAACTCTAGCACAACAGAACATCCTGTATAAGTTCTATCATAGACCACTATATATCTATATATCTGATATAGATATATAGTGTTCTATGGTTCTATGTGTAATGTGTATGCTCATAGGTATACAATGTGAAGAATAAGATACACCCTGAGGTACCTAAAACACTACCAAGCTTAATGAAATCAGCCGCGGGTCGCGGATAACACTGCTGACATCACATCACACTTACATCACACTGCAAAGTTTGCACGGGTTTCTAGTCAGACGACGAGGCGCCAGTGAGCTGGTCGTAAAGTCTTCGTTTAGTCTCTGAGAATGAAATGGAGTCACTGTAAAAATATGACTGAAACATGGAAGCGTATATCATAAGAACATCCTACGATTCTAAAACCTTAGCCCGCGCTATCATGCATAACTCGGATCACTCAACAAACAAGCACACATCCTTTCTCTCCTCCTACAGCACAGTGACGAAATCTATGAGCCCCGGGGCGCGGGTTAATGTTGCATTCTTTGGTCTAGACCCATCAAGTGACATAAGCGCGGGAATCGAACCGGGGGAAGGAGGGGGGCAGTGGGGGCAGCCGATCCCCCCTCCCAACTCTGGGGCCGGTGCCCCCACAACTTTGAAACGGTATACCGTACTTCTTTGCAAACGTTTTCTTTTTTTTTTTTTTGAAAAAGCCAAGGGATGAAAAATAAGTGGCCTAAAACCGGTGAAAAACTAGATCTGGGGGTCCCCTAGGTTGATCTCTATTATGGTGTGCCCCCCTCCCCCCCCCCACCAGTCTGAAAGTAGTTCCAGCGCCCTGTCAAGTGATTTCAGACTTAAGTGAACTGGTTTTTACAGAGATCACCTAACATTACCATTGGACAGGACGCTGTAGGAATCTGAAATTTGCTGGAACTTTTTCGATGCCTCCTCCTTGTTGTTGCTATGCTTGTCTGGGTGCCATAGCCTCGCCATACGACGGTACCTGTGGCAGATTAATGCGCATACCTTCATCTTAAGGTCAGCCTAGGAATATACTCGTCACTTAAAGAATCTGTCATCAGGTAATTTGCAATCTTACGATTCATGTAACTTGTAAGCTTTCATGGCATTTGTATGGCGTGCAACATCACGATGCTTTCGATCGCGGTAGGTCATTTCATAGGAATCCGTGCATTTAGTCTTTTGTTTTGTAAATATTTAGCTGAAATAACAAATCGTACCCTATGGTCTTAGTCACCATAAGCTTGGCGTAGGGGCGGTTGTGAAACGGAGGTTGAATTTCGTAACACAATATAAGCAGACTGAACTTACGCTGTCTTGATCTCGTCAATAGTAGCAGTGCGTGGCACTTCAAGAACTTCATAGTGGTTGACGTCCAATGAAATACCGATAAACTTTTGTTCCTGAAACCGCAGGAACACCAATGAAACACTTGTCTTTGCGTACCCAGTGTAAATAGGAAATGACTAAAAACCTTTGAAACTGCACCTTTAGCTTTGAAAAAGCACGATTTACATTTCCAAAGAAAAGCATAAGCATAATGCATATGCTGTATGAAAATGTGTTATCGTTTGAGAGATGTCATCGCTGCGCACCTTTAAGTGTTTTTATATATACATATATATATATATATATATATATATATATATATATATATATATATATATATATATATATATATATATATATATATATATATATATAGGATATGTTTTTTAGCTTATGATTTGAGTTGCTAACAAAAAGTGCAATTTTAAGTGTGGCGGTTTACGGACCAGCATAGCTATATAGTTTGTTCATTTTCACTAACTCACAGTAGCATTTAGGGAGTACTTACGAGTACTCACAGTAGCACAGTAGCACGTACATACAGCATACAAAGCCCTATCAAATACCTTCATTTATTTACATATGGGATGTTTGCGGGGCTAACCTGTTGCCTGCGGGGAGCTCCGATGCCGGCCTCAGCCGCTGCCCGACCTAGGGCGGCGGCTATGTCTGCTCCCAGCTGACGGTCGCCGTTGGCAGGGGGAAGGCCTTGCAGCCCGTCTGCCATTGCCCGGCGCAGCGCTTTGTCCAGCCAGCTCCACTCCGCCAAGCCCGTCGTCGAGCCCGCCGCCGCAGCCGGCGCACTCGCCGCAGCGCCATCAGTCTCTTTCTTCCGTTCGTCTCTCCTTTTCCTCTCTCTGTCCGTCTTATCTGCCTTTCTATGCTTGTCCTGTCGCTCCTCTGACATCGCTCTATCCTTTTTCGCCGACCTTTTGCCTTCCGAGTTTTTTGCCGCTTTATCTTTATCCGTCCTCTCCGCCTTCCTCTCTCTTTTCGACTTTTCTGCCGTTTTATCTCTTTTTGACTTCTTTTCAGCTCGTTCTCCATCTGATTTCCTGGTCACTCTGTCCTGGTCTGCAGCGGCCGCTGCCTTCCGTTCCGTTGTTTTATCAGTCACCTCTGCTGAATTGGCCTTCATCCGCGCCTCCGCAGCCGCCGCCAGCCTCTCGCGGCGCTCCGCCAACAGTCGCGCGGCGCCAGCGTCACGGTCACCGGCGGCGGCTGTGCTGGAAGTCTGGGCTGCGCCGGCTGTGCTGGATGTTTTGGCTGCGTCGGCTGTGTTGGAAGTTTTGGCTGGGTTGGGTGTTTTGGCTGAGTCGCCTGTGGTGGCGGTGGTGGTGCTGGCGGTGCTACTGCTAGTGGAAGTTTTGGCTGCATCAGCCGTGGTGGTTGTAACGGTTGTTTTGGGGGCGTCGGCAGCGGTGGTGGAAGCTGTGGTGGCAGTTTTGGTGGTGGAAGTTTTAGTTGCGTCAGCAGTGGTGGTTGTGGCGGTTGTTTTTGCACCGCCAGCCGTGGTGGTTGTGACGGTTGCTTTGGAAGATTCAGCTGAGGCGGCGGTTGTGGTAGCAGCTTTGGAAGGGTCGGTAGCAGTGGCGGTGGTGGTGGCTGTTTTTGGGGCGTCCGGTGCGGTGGTAGTAGCTTTGGTGTCGGGGGCCGCGGCGGACCTCGCTTCGGCAGCCGCGGCGGCGGCGGTAGCGTCGTTGTCTTCGATGTCACTGTCGCTGTCGCTTTCGCTTTCGCTGTCGGACTTTTTAGGAGACGTCTCTCTGGTCTCTCTGGCGCTTCTGCTCGCCGCCCTGGCTAGTTCTGAGACGTCCAAGCCGTCGACCAGCCCTTTCAATCCAGACACAAGTTGCTGGAGCTGTGATGGCAGGGTGCCATTTTCCATGTCCTGCATGAACTGTCTGAAACCTGAAAAACAACAAAAGGTCGGCGTCACAGTCAGATGCCGTGTCGCAAGTGAGTTCCGATTTCAAGTCGATAAGCAGAGGCGCAAAATTACATCAGAGATTATGAAGCTGAGCGAGTTTGACATTCTAGTTGCACAAACACACTGCGTACGAGTATTTCTTCAAATTAATTGTATGTTATCCAATGGCGAAACCACTGAAAACAAGTTGAAAGAACGTAATGCAAAAGCATCTTAAAATATTCCACACTTAGGTTTTTTGGGTATAAGGGTAAACTGGCTTAGAGGCGAAGCAGAATGTCTGGTTCATGAAGAACACACGCAGTGTTTCACATAGACCGAAGACACGTGCTGCTTCTTCGCGTGCAGTCTTAGCGGCCCCAGGGGACTTCAACTCGACCAACACCGGTTCTTCTTCGTTCTCCCTAGTCACGTGATATTACGTCACACAAAGCGCGCGAAAGATAAACCCTTTGAAGGTTTTGCACGAACTAGCATCGGGTTTAAGAAGAAGGGGTTGTGGTTTGATCAGTGTAATGGCTTTCATCAAGACCACGCCCGCGGTACCACGTTCTAGCGTCCACCGGAAGCGATCGCCATTTTTCGATCGCGTTGGATCACGCTTTGTGCAGTGACGAGCGGCTGGTGCAAGATTGGGTGAATGGCAAGTAATCGAATATTGAAGAACTGAAATAAGGTTAATTTTTGGCTTATCAAGTGTTGTGTATTATCTATATTACTTGTGATTGACAATGATAAGCAATATCACAACGCTCTTCAAATGCATGGATGAATGCGTTGGATGAAGAAAATTCATATGCAAGACCAATCAATGCAGTAAGTATTTATATGTTGTATAAATGCCCCATAGCTTAAATTATGCAAGTGGTACGATAGGCGGCGGCCGCGGCCATAACGGCCGGAGCGACACCAGCGCCACCATCGGCGGCTGGTCGGAACTATCGCAACGGATCGCACGTTAATTCAAATTATTTAGTAACGATACATTATGCGTCAACGAAACCTTTACTGAAAATTTAAGAAAAATGCATTTCATATTATAACTTAATTTCATGATACATCTCGCGATGTAAATAGGTATTTTAATGGATAATTTGATTAGTAAATAATTGCATCCCTTCAATTAACTAATAATATCATTGCACATATTTCGCATCCGATAAATGCCCCACCGGAATATGAAAGCCCACAAAGTAAGCTTTCTAAAAATGTATATTAGTCACAAGTCAGTGATGGCTTATGCTACTTTTGACGCGATTGTTTTCGTTATCGGTCGATATAACATACACTTTTACTATATTCCAATGCGTACAACTCAGTCAAATTTGAATATTACGTTAATGCCCCAGTAGATAATTAAACATCAATTAATTGCCGTTCGAATGATGTTACGCATGCCTCAATGGTGCCTACCCTAAGCTACTTTTTTCTCGTGTCTTGATAAGCAAGCACTAGGCAAAATTGTGGTATCACCATAATTAACTAATAAAATTAATGAATAAATGACACCTTCGATAAATGCCCCACCGGAATACGAAAGCCCACAAAGTAAGCTTTCTAAAAATGTATATCAGCCACAAGTCAGTGATGGCTTATGCTACTTTTGACGCGATTGTTTTCGTTATCGGTCGATATAACATACACTTTTACTATATTTCAATGCTTACAACTCAGTCAAATTTGAATCTTACGTTAATGCCCCAGTAGATAATCAAACAGCAATTAATTGCTATTCGAATGATGGTACCCATACCCCCATTGCGCCTAGCCTAAGCTGCTTTTTACCCCCTGTCTTCATTGCCAATCACTGGGTGCAATAGCGGTCTCAGGCCTTATCCGGGCAAAAATGATTTTTAGGGTGAGGGGACAAACGCTAAAGCTATTTCTTTCAAATGTGGCTACTTAAGCGTTTCAAATAAGAGTAAAATTGGAGAACTTCACTCACCTGAACATAATTTACTTAATCTTAAAAATTGACTATCTAATCAAAGTATCAGTAGGCATGATCCAAACATGTAGGTACCTAGGCATGGCGGCGATGGGAGATACCTGTCAGGGTGCGGGCCAGTTATTTTCATGTTCAATCTCTTCATATTGACGCAATCAACGTCACGTAAATAAAGAATGTATATTCTTCGCAAGTAGCGTATCAATACATTTATCACAAATCTAATGCAGTCACATAAACACATTTTGACACGCACGCTCACGCACCAGATTTTGATGCGCCAACATTTTGATAGGTGCACATTCGCTCGCAATTCAAGTCACATAACAATTTTTAGCTGCCTTCAACAGTCGGCGGCCGTCCTGCGTCAAGGCATGTCGCATTCCGTCCTGTTTTTCAACAGGTTGTTGGGTAAACACTTGCATAGATTCTGCCCGCCCAGTAGTTAAATCGCAAACATGAAATAACTGAATACGAAGAAGAAGAAAAAAAACGGGCCGATCATGGACAACAAGAACACCGACAGGAACATTTTCATTAAGTTCGCAACCTCGTGGCGAAGTTAATCGAGATCACGACTTATCGTCCTATAGGTTCATGACTTTTACACACTTTAGAAGTAGCAGTCGCAGCTGCATCCCGCTTTGGAGGCCGAGGAAATCCATGGCAGGAGGGCAAAAACAAGAACAATATTATTTTGTGACGGCCGGCTTTATCTAAATTACTGAACTCCACTTTTCGTCCCGAACAGTGATTTTTCCTCGGCATGCTATTTTACTCTGAATGAACTCGTGGCTCGAGGTTTAGGAATTTCGCGCCGATTGAAGTTCGTCGGAAGCACGGAGGACGTTTCTTTGTCTAGGACGAGTGGTACGCGTGCCTCCATTGCGTGTAGCCCCACTGCGTTTCCAGCTGGCAAATCTCGGTGCTGACGATGTCCTTTAGGTCCACTAAACGTTGATGCACGTAGGTGTCGCACTCATCTGTAAAGAAAAGCCAAATTGTCACAAAAACATTTTCTTCAGTGTCACTGTCATTCACCAGAAGGCTCATATTTAAAACCCCTTAGCCCTAGGTAAAAAGATATTATGAGGAATTTCGGTCCCCACTAGTGAAACTTCACATTCATGCGTGAACAGCCTGATGGTAATATTCTTATTTGTAAAACAATAAATACAAACTGATAACTGACACTGACACTACTATAAATCAGCCCAGAAAAAGAGCATACTACCTAGGTACTTGACAAATGGGATACCAATTTCAAAGAAAGTAAGTCAATTTTTCAAAGCAGCCTGAATTAATATATGCAGGCTAGAAGCATATGCCTACTATCTGAGGAGTTAACAAGCAGCCGTTTAATGAAGTGGATTGCAGACTGCAGAGCCACCACAACAATTCTTGAAACTGCACATGAGTGACACATGTTCTGATTTCAGCAGCACATTGTAATGGCATTGGGTGGTAATGGCATACTAATAAATTTAGTAGGCACTACTTGTTGCATCAATGTTAAATAGGGAAGATCAATACATACTCAGGAAGCTGATGTCAAAGGTAGTTATGAAAGAATCACTTCAAACAAGTTATGAAAATGCTGTGAAAGGGTTCCAAATAATTTACAAAAGGGCAGTGTCGAATGACTCATCACAAAATTATAATAATGCTTGGGTGTTAGAGGGGAAAATTCCTCTCCAAAAAAAGGATGAGGGTGGTATATTCTTGATAAGGTTAGCCCCGCCCCCCCCCCAAAAAAAAAATAAAGAACAGAAGAAGGAAAAATTGCACTTTCCTGTACAATGGTAGAATCTGATGCGATCATGCAATTAGATGCTCTTTCATGAGTGGTAAATTGCTATTGAAAGTTGGAGGTGGGAGTGGAAAATTATTTTCATTTGGATGTCTTGTTCCACCCAAATTGACAAATTTTGGGACACTGCGAATGAGTTATGAAAATTTTGCCAAAGGGTTCAACAAGTAAACAAAAGTGTTGTTTGAAATGAGTTATGTAAAGGCTGTGAAAGAGTTATGAAGAATTTGCAAAAGGGTTCCTTCAAAAGAGTTCCGAAAAGGTTCCGAAAGAGTTACAATGAGTTAATGAAGAGATTTTACGAATGAGATATGAAAAAGTTGTCAGAGGGTCACAAATAATCTATGAGAAATTTGCTTTAAATGAATTATGAAAGGGCTGTGACAGGGTTACAATAAGTTAATGAAAAGCCTCTTTAGAGTGAGTCAGGAAAATGTCGCGAAAGGGTTGCAAATAATTTACGAAAGGGTTATTTTGAATGAGCTATGAAAATATTGAACATAGTTAAAAAAAAAGTTATGAAAGGGTTACTCTGAATAAACTAATAAAAGGCTGAGAAAGGGTTACCATGAGTTTACGAAAGGGCTGTTTCAAATAAGTTGAGTTATGAAAAGGCTGCGAAAGGGTTACGAAGGGCTTGCGTAAAGGCTTAGTGAAAGGGTTGTGACCTAACAAGTTGCGAAAAAATCACAGCAGCTTTAGGAAAAGAATATGAATGGATAAAGAAGTAACAAATTTTGTTGCAACAAGTGAGGAACAATGTCACACTAATGGGGCCATAATTATACTCAGAAATAAAAAGCATCTCAGTCTAGTCCATGAAGACTGAAGAGCAGGCTGCACTTAATTGGTGGCTTACCTCAAAATCACTGGCCGACTCACCCCTTCCACTAGATTGATCGGGCGATTAAACACCTTTTTTTCAAATAACGGAAACCCAGGCAATTGCCTAAAACCCAGAAGAAACGTTTGAACCGCTGGAAATGCCGAGAAATTGGCGGCAATATACAGTGAGGGTACACTGCGCAACAAATGTCTCATAAGCGCATGGAACGTATGCAGTTTCCAAAGCTCTTGATAATATCAAGAACATGTTTTTTTTCTTCTTATCCCCATCTGGCCAAATGTCCGCCTTTACACGGGGCCTGCACCCTAACGATTAAGACAAATCTTCCAAATGAAGATAAATCAAGACTAGAATCAGCTTGCCATTTTGGGGTCAACTGATTTAGGTATAAATTTGGCTGATTTTAATAAACACATGTTCTTGCTGATTAGTGCAATATTTTACCTAGCTGCACTTTATATGTTAAGTGCATTATTTTATTATTTTTTGTTATTTTATTATTATTTTATTTTTTATACATTATTTTTTTGGAGTAAGCTCATGGTCTCTGAAGTCAATCTAAGTTTCTTTACTCCCTGCCTGTTGAATAACTCATCCGTCCGACTCTTCATTCTAGGGGACGAGGCCATCTCCGCACTGATTGAGGCCCTGGAGTCTGAGGAGAGCGTCCTGGCGCGCGGAGACGTCGACATCGTCGAAAACGCTGGCTTGAAGCTGGTGGTGGAAGGAGAAACTGTATGTGATTTGGGAGAATGCGATATCGCCACCCGGCTGCTGACATGGGCGATAGCGCATACTGTGTTTGGGAAAACATCCACTTGCTAAAGCTAAAAATGTGTTCATATTTGTACAGAAAGCAACCCTGAGCGTGAAGCAATCAACCTGAATAATTAAACATGCCCGAAAGGCTCTGGAGTTCTTTGGCTTGGATGTGTAAGGCAAGTGACACGGCCGAGGGGAAAGTGTTCCTGCAGGCTGATTGCGGGCTGATCGCAGGCTGAATGCGGGCTGGTTGCGGGCTGATCGCATGGGCTGGTTGCGGGCTGGTTGTTCCTGACTGGAGACTTGCAGGCTGATTGCTCAGAGTAAAGAGGAAGGTAATACATTTTAAGGTGTATCAAATACTGTGTTTGCGCAGCAGATGTGACGGCGCAGGTCGATAGCCATGCATGGGAGGTTCAATAGGCGAATGAACGGGGATTTTGCGGTATTGCAATAGAACTGAAAGGGTTCTACAACCGATATTCAGAACACAGGGTGGTTTCCCTATAAACCTCAGGGACCTCTTCACAGACCCTTTGGGGTTCTTATCTAGGTGCTAAGAACGCTCTTATTATAAACCCTAAACCTCATAAGAGTCTTTGGAAGAATCGTGTGGATTCTTTTGATGAGAATGCAAAGCCGTCTACGTGAAGAACCATGGGGGTTCTGAAAAACGGTGGCATAACATTTTACCCCACAGGGTTCTAAATACCGCTGTACGTTCTTAACGTTCTTCCAAAGTGTTTTCAGTGTGCGAGTTACACATCGACTCCCGTGTTGAGCTGAACATTTATTATCCGGTGAATAACTCATTTGTTTCATTTCAGAGTTTCTCAATCTGTTAACCCTAAATAGCTATAGTGACGGTATTGAAAGGCAGTATTATTACGCAGAATTAAAAAAGAATAATGTGATAAAACCAGTAAAACGCCTTTTGGGCGAAGAACGAGCGAGCAAGATAGTGAGCCCTGCACGTGCGGAAGGGCGAGAGGGTACTTCCAATGGGCTTGTGCAAAGCACCCTTTTAACCGGTCGCTAGCAGTGTGCCAAATTTGAACGCAATCGGCCCAGCCGTTCCTGAGATCTGGAAACGGCATTCAGCACGTGCGCACGTGCAAACGGGGTCCAAACTGACTTTCGCACGGCACCCTACTAACCGGTCCCCAACCGTGTACCAAATTTGAGCGCAATCGGCCCAGCCGTTCTCAAGATCTGGAAGCGCCCCCTGCACGTGCGCACGTGCAGTAGCACCCCGACCGCAACACATGGGAATGCATTGCCTGGTGGATGCCTACCTGTATGCCAAGTTTCAGTGAAATCGCCCCAGCAAGTACCGAGTTATTGAAATGGGAGCAAATTTGGCACCTAATATAATCTAATCCGTTTTAATCCGTTATTGAAATGGGAACAAATTTGGCACCTAATATAATTATAATCCGTAACAATTAACATGCTGGATTGTGATTGTCATTACGAGCGAGCGAGCACAGCGAGCGAAGCGAGTCTTTTCAATACCGGGAGTTCCTAAATAAACAGTCGAATTATTTTTGCCTCTAGTGGCGTCACTAACAAAATCACAACAATAAAATTGCACGTGATGATAGCACGTGCAATGCCATTTTATTTCATACCAAAATCAATCACTTTCTATCATGCAGCCGTATAGTACAGACATAAAAACAAAAATAGTACATTTCTATTTTGAGACAAAGTCAATCGTTGCAACACAACGTAAGCTACGCCGACACTTAAAAAGGACCCAAGTGCCATCAAGAACCGTCATTTTAAGTATAGTTGAGAAGTTTTTGGCAAGAGGTAGTGTGGAGAACGTAAAAAAGGGTAAATGTGGCCGAAAAGGAACCAAGAGGACGCCTCTAAACGCCCAAAGGGCACGAGAAGCCCTCCAGAGGAGCCCACAAAAGTCGCTCAGACGGCTGGGCCAGGAACTGGGCTGTAGCAAAACCACCGCTCACCGTTTGGCCAGAAACGACGTTCAGCTGTTCCCGTATAAGGTCTCCGTTCACCAAGCACTGTCGAAAGTCGACAAACAGTCACGGCTTCTTTACAGAGGCTGGTTTTTGAGAAATTGCGAGCAGGACAATGAGTTCCTTCACCGAATCTGGTTCAACGACGAGGCCCATTTTCATATGGATGGCCGCGTGAACTCCCAGAATTTTCGATTCTGGTCGACGGAGCCACCCGATTTGGTCGCGGAAGCCCCTCTGCACAGTGTGAAGTGCACAGCCTGGTGTGCAATGAGCAGCAGTGGCATCATCGGACCTTTCTGGTTTGAGAACGACGCTGGGGAGTCTGTCACCGTCAACGCTCTGCGCTACCAGCAAGTCCTAGCCAAGTTCTGGACTGCGCTGAACAGGCGGCTGGGTGGAGACAGGCAGCTGATGGACCATCAATGGTTCCAACAAGACGGAGCCTCGGCGCACACGGCCGTTGCGACTCGAGAATGGCTGCGGAACCGATTCGGTGCGCGGGTTATCTCCCGCAGAGAGGTGCGGACCTGGTCCCCACACTCTTCGGATCTGACCCCACTTGACTTCTTTCTCTGGGGTCACCTGAAGTCACAGGTCTACAAAAGCAACCCCAGAACTACAGATGACCTCAAGAGGGCCGTGTCGTCCGCGGTGCGCCGAGTGTGGCCGGAGATCTGCCGGGCTGCGGTGGAGTCCGCTCGGCGACGCGCAGAGCTGTGTGTGGAGCGAGAGGGGGCTCATCTGGAACATGTCCTCTGTGGCCGCAAATGAAAAGACAGCAAAAAGAAGATGGTATCACGTGAAATGGCATCGACTATTGTGTATGTTAGAAAGTGATTCGTTTTTGTCATGCCTTCCATGCTGATAATATACAGCTTTTAAATTCGACTGTTTATTTAGGAACTCCCGGTATAACGGAATAAATATCAGTATGAGCGGCCCGGCCCGGCCCGGCCTGTAACGCTTTTGAGAAGCTTATATCTCAGCAACCGCTGAACCGATTGCCCTGCGGTCTTTTTTGCTGGGTAGCCCCATCCCTTCTACCCCGTAATTGACTACTTTTGATGCATCTCAGTGACCGACGTGGCATGTACCACGTGAAAAGTCAAGGGTGTTCAAGCTGTTTTCCAAAAGTAGTGATTTTGAGAGGCCCATATCTCAGCAGCCGCTTGGGCGATTGTCTTGCGGTAATTTTGTAAGGTAGATGCATCCCTTCTACCAAAGGTCGCATACTCTTGATCTATGTGAGTGACCCCCACCGCACGTGCAAAATGCAAAAAGGAGAGGTGCCAAATTTGTTCCCATTTCAATAACTCGGTAATAGCGACCGGTTAGAAGGGTGCTTTGCAAAAGCCCGCTGGAAGTACCCTCTCGCCCTTCCGCACGTGCAGGGCTCACTATCTCGCTCGCTCGTTCTTCGCCCAAAAGGCGTTTTACTGGTGATATTTTTAATGATAATAAATCGTTTAGCGGACTGACTGAGTGTAAAGACACTATTTTAGTCGCAGTCATATTTTAGTCAGAGGCTATCCCTGCTTTTTGAATCGCATTGCCCCTTTGAAGACCTGTCAATAAAGGTCGAAGTACAGGGTGTAACGAAATTATCCGGACATCTTTCTTCGCGCTGTAATTAAGAAGCAAGCCAATCTGATATTTTCCGTTTTGAATTATTATATAGCCACCTTTCATAAAAGCGCAGGTACAAATTTTTGGAGGATTCCCGCCACTGGGTTTTCCAGCACAGTGGGTTTTATATAGAGTAGCGCCTTACTAACCTGTGCCCACAGTTGGGCGGCGCTGGTGGCAGGTGTCCCCTCATTCATTCCTGCTGGACAATATAGTCCATAAGATATCGATGGAATTGCATGGGAACCATTTCCAAAGCCATAGCCCTTTAGCCCAGAAGAAAAATAGGTCCTCTCGGCATCACTTCTCATTCTGCTAGGGACTTGAAGGTGGTGCGCCGCCCCGCATGAAGACTGCGCGGCTTGAATCAGGCATCGGTACACGTTCAGAAACCGAGCCCTCTTGTGCCGTCTGGTTGAGTGGCTCCAACCAATCGCTAGCCAGGATGTTGCGCCGGTAATACTCGTCACTGATAGTGGTTTTCTGTGTCGTCATGAGCAACTTGAATATTACACAGCAGCTGAACATGCTCCAGGTCTGGATTTTGCCCGGATGTTTGACGCCGGCGACGGCCGGCACATTCGAGCTGCTGGCAGCCCACACATGGCCGATTTGACGGCTCAACGGATATCGCAGCTCGAACAGATTCCCATCCGACCAGGCCATCTCATTCATGTCTTCCTTCGACCAGTGGACACGCCATGACCTGAGGCCAAAGGTGGTGGACTGGTTGTTTTCCCGTCGATTCCATTGTCTTTTTCAGTTTGAAGGGTAGTAAAACCAAGCTAAAGGGCGGGTAACGGTGAATCATGATATGGGACCTCTTATTATCTGCCTTGGTAAGAATTCGAGTCAGTTTGTGGATTAATTGGTACCCTTTCCTTGTCGCTATCTTGACAACTCTCC